ATTGTCTTCATTACTGGGGACTTCCTGCCAGGTCCTGGGGTCTGCTGCAGATGCTAATTTGTCATAGCCAAATAGGATTTATGCACATTCCCCTTCGCTTCCCTGCACACAGGCACAGGCTCCCGCTTCAGTTCTGAGGGTGTTTTGAGGGAAGCAGTTTGGTTGGCCACGTTCAGAGCAGAGCAAGCCACGCTTTTTAGAGAAAAAGCTGAAATGGTGCCTCTTTTAGCTTCTGTTGTAGTATGGCCAATGCACAGTCTGGGTCTAGTCACCAGATGTGACCCATATGGCTGAAGAGTACAGCCTGCAATAACACAGGACAGTTGTACCAGTTCAGACTAAGGGTCCTCTACCTACCTCAATATCACGTCTCAAAAAACTGTAGGCAGACAGTTAGGCAATTGTGACTCGTTTTGGGAGCTTCTCAAACCTGATGTGATGCACCTGTTCAGTAGTCCTTTTTCAAGTACTTGTCCCACCCATGTTTCAACCCATATAAACTTCCCATATCCAGTGTCCCTTGGCAAGGACGTCCCCAGGTTTGCTATGTACAGCTGCAAGAACTGCCTCACTTGTTATAAAACTGGATCTGACCAGTTTGGGTTGACAGCCCTTGGTTTTTAAACTAGGAGAGATGGTAAATGGTCAATTCTTGACCATCTTCTCCATGGTTGTGCATATTTATATAGGTCTTTATCAGCTCCTCCTAGCCATCTCTTTTTTCCAGGCCAGAGTCTCCACCTGCTATTGTTTCTTATGTAGAAGCTGTTCCCTTGTGTTTGTCGTCCTCATTGCTTTTCTCTGACACTTTCAGGAGCACCTATAAATTGAACAAACGATAGTGACAACAAAAAAACCCAAATGCATGCTATGTATTTGCACAAGGGACAGGGAGAGGAGGGAGAGGGGTCTCTGGAATTGTTTTCTATCTAATAACTGTAGTCAAAAGGCACAAAGTATTTTTTAAAGCAAGTTTTGGATTAGTATTACCAGTTATTGACAAATACTGCTTTAGAGATAAGTGAAGGAAAACTGCTGTAAAGCTGCAGGGGAGGAAACATCACCTCAAGCTATGTAATGCATTTGGTGTTTAGCACTGTCAGCCCTACACTTCTGAAAGGTGCAAAAATATAAAAACTTTTTAAAAAAAATGCTGTCTAATGATTAGAGACCCAGGATAGTACTCCTTCTAAGAGCTCAAGTTTCTCTTTTAGCTTAAAGTGTCTGCTGGCAGTGATTATTGATATCAAAGATACCTTGATGCAGCTTGATGTGGTGCCTTTGGGTGTGGTGCAGGCATAACCCATGCTCTCAGAGATGGGGAGAGTGTGCGTGCAAGAGGTTTCTTGTCATTCTGGCCCTAATTTTTATTTATTCTTTTGGTGTGTCAGTGCTGTGGCAGAGTTTCTGTGTGCACAGCCATCCTTTCTTTCATTACACTCGCCTATCCCTTGCGATAAGCCTTGAATCAATGTTCTCAGGTACAATTTTGCACGCCTGTTCTTCTGAAAGGGACCCAAAGCTCCACCTCTTTCCCAAAGTGGGTCCCGCATAGTCACCTTACTGCATGGCCTTGATTCTGATCACCCAGCTGCACCATGCTCTCTTGCCACTGCCGCCTCCTCTTTCCATCCATGCACCTCCTGTCTCCCAAATGGGGCCTGGGAGGTGGGTAAGCCAGCGGAAGTGTTGAGAGCTGCCTGGCTGTTGTTTGCCTTGCTCTTAACTCAAAAGGCCGGTGACAGCAGCCCTCATCTGTAGGGGATAAGGATCAGGGAATGCTTCCTCCTTATCATGGGGGATTTTGCTGCCTTTTGGAAAAAAACAGATGCACAAACCTATCATTTCTTATTAATTTTAAAGTAGCTCTTGGCTCACTACCTCCTGCGTGTCAGCCCTTCCATTGTCAGTAAATTATATTGGATTTGCAATTAAAAGCCAGCTGTGCCAGTGAAGTACCAGCCAAACGCCACCATAACTGTCTCCGGGGCGTCCTAGGGGAGGTGTGGAGCACGCAGCTCCTCCTCCAGTGAGCTCTTCTCTCGCTTCAAGAGGGAAAGGTAAGAGTTTAGAATGGGTTCTCAGGCACATTATTTTTGTTAATCAGAGCACTTCCTTGCTAAGAAATGCAGTTCTTTTCTTGATACTGTGTGTTCGTGGATATTGCAATTCCCAGAGCTTGAAAACTGCCAAACGCCCTTTGCCATGCAAAAAGTTAACTGTTTGAGGAGAAAACCTCTAGTGGTGGATACCTCTCTCAGGCTGGTTGTTTTTCCCTTTTCTTTTCTCAGTTAAAATGATTTACTGGAGAAGTATCTCTGCTTCTGCTGTGTGGGGGTTTAAATGTTGAAAAGCATTTGTGCCCGTCTAGCACAGATGGAGCAGGAGTTTGCGGCCAGGCAGGGGGAAGATCCCTGCAGATGTGCTGCTCCCTGCCCCTCTGGAGATCCACCCCCTTCTACCAACTGCTCAGCCTTTGTGTCTCGCCTCTCGGAGGCTCAACGGCAACTTGCTGCAAGTTGTGGCAAAACCCTGACTGTTTTGTCTTCCTTCCATGCTGGAGCTGGGCAGGGTTTTTTTAGCATTGGCTTTTTCCTGTCCCTCATCTACTTGGGTTCCTGGAGCCAGAATGGTAAGCAAGGAGTTCTTTTGCTCGTAGCTCTTGCTTTTGGCCAGATCAGGAAGGTGCAGCAATCCAGTGCAAGAGGCAATAGGAGAGGAGGAAAGTAAAAACTGGGTCTCTTCTGAGCCTGGAAGAGGGCTCCAGGTTGTAGTGTTACAGGCAAGGACTCAAAAGCCACTGACAAGGGAAGAAGGAAGCCCATGTTAGTGCTGGCCATGAGATGGTGAGATTTGACATCTACCAAAAGGCTATGTGCATTAGGGCACAGAGATCTGCACTGTGGGTCCTCAGAGTGGTGATCTTGCCACTGAACTTGGAAGGGCCACTACATGTCTCTGATAAAATGATGTTTTTCAGCTGGATAGTTGGAAAACTCCTCCAAGAATTTCTGCGTAAAAGAATCGGCACTGCATTAAAAATCTGCAAAATGGGGTCATGCACTCAGCTGAGGAATACCTGAGTGAGTGTTGTCTGTGTAACTTTTGATTCCTACCACTGTATGTTTGCTTGTGGTGCAGTTCTCATTGTGTCATTGCACGCAGCGTATAGCAAGGCTACATGTGCATACAAAAATTGTATTATGAGCAGCCTTTAGGTGTGCAATAAAGTTCTTACCCTTCCTGCTGCTTTAAAAACAGTTCACTTCAAAGGCTGTAGTATTTGCTTTGTCCTTTGGCCTTTATGGAGTGAGAGAAGAGGCTGTCTGTGCCGTAAATGTGTTAGTTGTCTCTAGTGGTATCTTTCCTCGGGATTAAGAGATTGGTACAGCAAACAGTGGGGGAGTGTTTGCCTCTGTTGTTCCTCTCCCTGTTCATTTTGAGCGTGCTAGCTTTCCCTGTCCTCCCCTTAAATCACATTATTTCATAAAGAGTAAAAAGAACCATAATTTGGAGCAGCAGCGAGCTGAGCCCACGTTAATAGTTTGAATTGCACTCCATCTGTTCAGCTGCATGGCCTGATGGATGTGCTGAACCCATTTTTCACAATTTGTTTTAAGCTGGTAAGAACTATCTCTCCTGGCTCTGGTCCAGGCTGGCTGTGGAAGAAAACTTGGTTTCTGGACATCCATATCCAGAGGGCAGGATTGAGTCAGTAGTCCCCACATGCCAGGCTACCACTTCCACCTGCAAGTTGCTAGTTTTTGAAAGGTTGGATTCCTCCCTATACTTGAACACTGTCGTTGAAAATGAGAAGGAGGGGGAAACCCCAACCTGCACCCGCGCACAGAGGATGAAATTTGCAAATGTGATTATGCAGTACCCGCTTTAAATCGGCTTATTGTTGTTTTATGATGGCAAGCAAGCAGTCGCAGGAGCCAGGGCGATTGGCCTCGCCATGTGCACATGCTGCTGGTAACTCAATAACCGATGAACACCCACCGTGGTCTCCAGACCTCCAGCCTTTGATGTAGCAACAAACAAGATAGATTGCTGTAATTTATCCGGCCCCTGGAGGGCTGTGCTGGTAATGTGCCATGAGCCCAAGGGCCAGCCATCCATAATCTGTGTAAAAAATACAGCGGATTGCAGTCACCGTGCTGTGGGATCGTCTTTGTTCCGTGCCGCAAGAGTTTGCGTGTGTACAGTGCACGGTACTGGGGCTCGGTTTCCAGCAGCCAGGGGCGGTAAGTCTTAGTGTAATACGTCCGCTCCCTCCATTAACTTTAATTGTTTCTGTTATGTACTAAACATACTCCTTTCAAATAGACTTGGGCAGGCAGTGCTGGAAACACGTTATTTCCCCATGTGCCTTTACAGGCATGACGGAGAGACTAGAGAAGGCATGCTAGGTTTGGGGGGAAAAGGAATGGGATTTTGTACCTGGAAACTTGAGGAGGGAGCATAGACCCCTGGGCCTCTCCTGATGGGAGAAGGTTCTGGTTGGGCCGTGCGACGAGAAGAGGGAGTCGCCACTGAACTGGGGAGCCCCAGCGGTGGCACCGAGGTGCTCCGGAGCAGCCATGTGCCACTTTCTAGTGCCCTCCAACAGCAACCCATGCTGGGGATTGCAGGGTGATGGGGCTGGAAAATAAGAGTAGTACTGAAATCAGAATGCTGTCAGTTTGAGTTTCTGGTTTGCTGCCACATGGCGCAGTACCTTTTCGTGCCTGGATTCATGTTGCTGCCAAAGAGGTTTTTATGTTACCTCAACGCTGCTTTTTTCATGGGGCGTTTTAAAAAACGCTTTACGTGGGTCAGCGGGAAAGCAGCAACATGGCTCTGGGGGTGCTGTGCCAGAGCCCAGTCTGCCAGTTGTAAAATGGACTTTGAGGGCTTGCCTTGCCGAGCATGGCCACGGAAGGGACTAGTATATCTTGGGGGGAGGCATGGGAGCTATGTACTGAGAAGTAACGCTGGGCTTCTCTCCTCCCACAGGCATGGCCTTGGCCCAGCGGCAAGTAGCAGTGCAAGAAGGGCCCCTGTACCGCACAGAGGGGTCCCACGTCACGCTGTGGTGCAAGGTGAGCGGCTACCAGGGCCCGGCGGAGCAGAACTTCCAGTGGTCCATCTACCTGCCCTCAGCCCCTGAGCGGGAGGTGCAGATCGTCAGCACTGTCGACCCCTCCTTCCCCTACGCCATCTACACCCAGCGGGTGCGCAGCCGGGGCATCTACGTGGAACGGGTGCAGGGGGATGCTGTCCTGCTGCACATCACCGAGCTGCAGGACCGGGATGCCGGGGAGTACGAGTGCCACACGCCAAACACCGACGAGAGGTACTTTGGGAGTTACAGCGCCAAGATGAATCTCGTTGGTAAGCTGTCCTGCTATGGGCATGGGGCATCTCCCAGCTGGCATGCAGCAGAAACCCCTGAACCCCCCACGTGTGGTGTAGTCCACATAAGCCATGGGAAAACGCACCAGTAAGCAGAATAGGAGCAGAGAACAGGCTGCACGGTGGCAGGAAATCATGGTATAGAGATGTAGGAGAAATCAAGCTTTCTCTAGTAGTAAGACCATTATAATGAAGAGTAACCAGGCAGCATATCCAGAGAGAGGAACGTGTGAAGCCATGGCTGAAAGCAAGAGGGATGTGGAACTGATTTACGAAGAGAGTGGGTAGGAAGGCTGCTCCAGATGGCACAAGCTGTAGAGGAGAGAGCTGTGTGCCAAAGGTGGCGAAATAGCAGAGCGGGGAAGAGAGGAGCAGTAACGAGCAAAGGGAACGGGACAGACGGTCATGTTCAGGCTCTTAACAGAGGGCAGTGCTGAATGTGTTCTGAAACCAGCACACTGAAGAAATTGAGCTGTCTGTAGATTGATGTGGGGGAGTTAGTCTGGTTTTAGGTTTGGTCTGTGTTAGAAAATTTGAAAGCAGGTTCTTTAAAATCTGGAGTATTTTCACAGCATGTCTCTGACTAGCTGATTTGACCTTTCAAGCTTTGTCTTGCTTTATGTATCTCAAAATGGGATTGAATTTGAAGCCTAACTTGGCTAACAGCAGTTAAATAACTTCCATCAAACTCCTTGGTTGAAGAACAACCACCCTTCTAGCAAATTTAAGCCCACAGACAGCGGGCTCCTTTTTCCTTAGGAGACCTTTGTGACCCTGAAGGTCTCTGGGAAGCCAAGTTGCTGTTATCCAGATGTGCTAGCCGATCAGGGTGTTGCCGGTTCAGACCATGTTGACACAGGAAACCCTTTGTGAAAGGAGCCAGGGAGGTGTGAATTTAAATCACAATAGCCCTCCTTTGGGCTGTGCACCTTGGCTTCTTCCCTTCCCAGGTGCCAGCCCAGCCACTCTCCCAGGCAAATGCCCACGGACTGGGTACAGGGGCTTTATTTAGGTGCCTGCTTTCCCATCTGATGTCCATGGGCAATTAGGAGGTAGATGCCTGAATAGTCCTTTCTATTGTGGGTTGGTTTTTGTGGGTTTTTTGGATTGTGTTTTTTTTTGTAGTTCTATGATTTGCTTCAGATGCCCAGGTTTGCGGTTCCCCTTTAGTTTAAACAAGTCTGAGTCAGCTCTGCGGCTGTAAAGTCACCTCAGGGAGTGAAACGCATTGAAAACTAACACCCGGTGCAAAAAAAGTGCCTGGGGGCAGGGTAGGGTTTCATAGTCAGGTTCTACAGCTGAGTTCCTCTGCCAGGGAGCTGTGGAAACCAGCCTGTGAGCTGGGATCCTTACAGGAGAGCTGTTAGAGCAAGCAGGAGTACCTGTGTTGGCCACTGGCATGGGTCACAGTGCTGGATGAGGACATGGGCGAGTGTAGCCAGTGTGTCCAATGACTGGGCAGCAGGGAGCTCCTCCACTGCTCTCCCCAGGGGCTGGGGTCCAGTGTCCTTCAGGCTTTAGCCGTAGCTCAGCACCTTCTTCAGTGGCCAACCTGGGGCTTGCTGGGTTGAGATGTTTTTGCTCTGTCTCACCCTTGTTGCTGGTACAAGGCATGTAAGATTCAGGATTCTGCAGACACCCATGAGTAGTACTTTGAGAAGTTTGGCTTCAGGGCTTACGTGTGTCTGGGATGCTCAGGAAAATTGATCTAAAGTAATTTTTAGTGGATTAGTTAAATCACATTATGCGCCTTCATGGATGCTTGCACTCAGAACTAGGGGCCCTGATTTGGTTTAGCTTAATTCATTTCTGAAAATTCACTTCAGAAGAAACTTGGGGTCACTTGCGTTTTCAATGTGTGTATCTGCATAGTTTTTTTTCTCTGGTTCAACCAAACTGTGACAGAAAGTGAATTTTTCAGAGTGCCCCCTGCAATGACCTGTAGACAACAAGCCCTTATGGAGAATCTCCCCTCTGTCTCTCATTCATGAACCGGTGCTGACTACAGCCCCGTCATACCCTGAAATCCTGTCAGGGAAAAGGGCTCCTCTCTACAGGGTCGGGCAGAGCACATGCCCTTTTATTTTTCCTGTCATTTTGGCTCTCAGCTACAGGTCGTGAGTTTTCAGGCCAGCTTTGTTGCTGCAGACAATATGCAAGAAGAGGTACACGAGAGGTAAATGAGAGTTATTGTTCTCATTTTCTTCGACCAAACTTTTTTTTATTCTTTCATCCAGTTATGAATTTTTAATTGACTGATTAGATTGAGTGGCTCTTTTTTGGCAGCAGCAAAGCCTGGAGGGAGGCAGGTTTGTTAATGTCTCTATTCTCTTTTTTGCGTGAAATGGATGGGTTTGGAGCAGCGTTGATTTTCAGCTTGGTGTTCTGGGAGCTTTGAGTTGTTGTGTCCTGTGGTTTGAGGGAAGAGCTGAAGGAAGAGTCTCCCCTTTTCACCTGGGCTATTACAGCCCTGTAAATGGGGGAGCTCGGAGTTTTAAGGAAGCTGAATGGGGCCCTGGTGTAGCAGCATCTGGGGCTGCTGTCTGCACCAGAACCATATCAGCTTGCAGCAGAGCTGCTAGGATGTGTCTTGGCTCCTGCCATCTGAGCAGCTTTGAGGGCTCTCTCTATCCAAGGCTCTGCAGCTGCTAAAGAATTGTCTGCTCAGCTTCAAAGATGTGCCACTTGGGCTTGAAAGGACACTTCTGTCCCTCTCACAAACAGCAATCCTGGTTGGTCATCCCTCTCCTGGTTTTGGTGTCTCCACTCCAGGTTCCTTTTCATTCATCAAAATCTTGGCCAGGATCTAGTACCACTCTGAGGACCTGAAGTCTCTGATGGCATGGAGTAAGAAGTGCTCCCCAGGCACTTTGAATGCCTGGGCACTCATCTGAATTTAGGCTTACAGTGCAAGTGCTTACCTCACTGAAGCTAGGAATGAAACCAGTAATTTGGGTCAAGGGCCTCTGCTGTGGGAAAATGTGTATCAAGGCTTAACCTTTTTCACCAATCTTCAGTTTACCAGTCTTCAAAATAAGTCTTTCTGTATCTTGATACCCATCTTCTCATTGTTTTGTGAGCTGCATCATTGGGAAGAAGGAGTTATACCTCAGCCGCGAGATGTGTTAGGAAGAATTTAGGACATTTCGAATTGAATTGTAGGTGCTGAGTGAGGTGAGAAAAAAATGGGTGCAGCTCTTCAGGATGTTGTGGAACCATGGCCTTATGATTGATTTATGAGAGAGGATTAGCCCATGTACAAAGTCTGCAACTCTGTTATTTGCCTTTGGAGTTCAGTTCCCTGAGGCTGACATGACATTGCTGAGTCTAGTTCATGCACTTTTGCTCAGGGTAGGGGGGGGGGAGATTTTTAGAAGATCGCACAAGTGGGCTCCCACTCATCTAACACCAGACACATTGCCTAAGGTAGGTGTTGAGGCAATATCTGCGATCAGAATATGGGAACAAATCTGGAGAGCAGCCCATCTTAGTGTAAATGAAGTGCATCCTTCTCCAAGTTGACTAAGGAGAAAGCCTGAATGTCAGACTTGGGCTAGGCAGGTGGTGGTGAGTGGAAGTAATTCTTCCAGTAGTGGCTGAAGACTTGGCTGCTTTTGGAAACTTCCCCCAGGGTAGAAGGGAAGCAGCTGATGGAAATTTTGGGTTTGTGGTTGAATTGGGAAGATGCTTGGGCATACCAAAGAGGGGAGTTACACAACTGGATTTGATTAAATGGGGAATGTGGGGACCATGAGCACCTGACTGACAATTGTATCAGGGTCCCGGCCTGCTTGTTGCTGGCTTCGAGAAGTACATGGGCAGCTCCTTTGCTTTTTGAAGGACAGCAAAGAATTTGCAGGTGAAGGAAAGCAGCGTCCCAGTAACATAATGTCACCACTGGCAGGAAAACAGCATTTTCCAGATTGTCATTGGAGTGATCCCTTGTCTTAATAACTTTTGAAATATGGGCGTAAGAGGAGATTTCTGTGCGCTGATTTAGGTGATGAAGCTGCAGGGGTGCTGTGCAATCTGAGATGTTGGTTTGTGCTTCTCATCTTCTGTTGATGGGTAAATAAACTGGTGTTTTGCTGTGGGGTGGAAGTGAGCACATGGCAGTTACTTCAGAGTGCCTGAGTCACTGCAAATTTGTACTCCGCTATGAGTATTTGTATCTCTGCCATGAGTTGTTTGTGTGCCTGTACCATTACTGAGATAACAGCGAAGAGTCCTAGGTCTAACCTCTTCAGAAGCTTCAGACTTTCATCTCGATATTTTTTTTATCTGTGGTCCCAAAAATATTGAGCTCTTTTTCAGAGTAGGTGATTTGAGAAAAGAAACCAAGCTTTGAGCTTTTTCCTGAACAGGGTGGGAGAAAGGGTTTCAAAGCACTTGGGGAGGTTGCAGCTTTTCTACTCTTTATTTTGGGGGAAGCAGCTGTACAGCATAAACTTGCTAAACAAGTTAAAGCAAAAAATCGTAAGGAGTTTGGGCAGTGGGAAGGGATCACAACCTGCAGGGTACCATAGAGTGAGAAGAAGCAATTTCTGTGCTTCAAAAACAAGCAGCACTTGGACATGACTGTCTTGGCAGCAGACAGGAGCTGCTGTGGAGATGGTAGTGCCCATAGGAAAGATCACTGGTGTCTCCTTGCCGCCAGCTGTTTGTGGAAAGGGAGCAGAGAGGATCTGCGCTATGTAGGTGCTATTCGGAGCCTCCCCTGTCCATCCTCTCAGCCTGACTACACTTCTGCTCTCTGCTGTTTCTCAGCCTGCCCAGTTAGGCTGGTGCCTTGATCTCTGCCCTGTTCCCCTGGGTCCTACCTGGCTATGATGGCTCCCAGGGACTTGGTGTGGTTTTTTGGCTGGCAGCCCCATTGTGGTGAAGTTTCAGCATCGTGCCAGGCTTGGGAGTGGTGGTGAGCAAGGGCACTGATGGGATGAAGACCCAGCTACCTCTCTGCCTGATGTCAGTGCTGGCTC